TGCATTCAAAAGGTTAAAACAACTCTAAAATTACCTAAGCAAATAATAGTTACTGGAAGTTTATATTTCACAGTGTATTAGTTGAAATGTACTAAACTACGGTTACTTTAGTTTATAATGGGTGCCACATCCTGTGAGCGTCGAAATAAATTTCGCCTCCTATTTTTGGCATCGCCGCCCCCCACTTGATTGGCCGCACCCATACCATACGGATAAATGAACCGAGTTCCAGTGTAGTTACTCTATTGTAGATTTCCTTCCGTATGATTTAAAAAACATAGGTTTTATAATCACGTCATAAAATATTTTCTTGCCAACAAATTTTTAATGAATGTTCGCATAGTATGTACGTAAATGTGCTCAGATAATAGCTTTAGTACCATTACTTGAGATTAGATAGAATCCAGTTTAATTTGTAGCATTTCCTAGATAATGGACAGTATTTTGAACAATTTAGTACTTGAGAATGACAATCTGAGAAAAAGAGAGAAAAATTCTATAACTGATCATAACTAACTGTAAGAGTATATTATGCTCTTACTTTATAAAAGTTACTTATTAAGTAACTTTTTTACAGCCGATTTGCTACTCAATCTTCTTTAAGTAAGTTAAGGGGAAAAGATGTGTCAGTCTGGTCACCTTATGGTAAGCGATACCTAGCCACCGCAAATGGATTCTATTGTTTTTAAACGGTGGAAAATTATCCAATTGCTTCTCCCACCTTGGGTGAGTGTCAAAACTCTTGCTGACTCAAAAATCCATTCGGTGCCTACTCCTACTCTTCGAGCCAGAGCCCTGGTAACTCGTAAGCCTTCCGCGGCTCCCGATCGGATCGGGGATATGGAATGGTTGCCCATAGACTTGGAAGCCAAACTAAATCCGAATTCGTTTAAGATTATAACAGAGTACCTATTACATTGCACATACCATGAAAATTTTTGGCATTTGCATGTGAATTACAATTAAAACAGCAAATAATCCGTAACATTTATACAACTTCTGCATTTTCTGAATCTGAGAAGAGGTTCCGAAATAAGTTCTGATTCCGCCATAGGGTTGTAATAGGATTTTATTATGTAGAATTTCTTGTCAATTTTAAATTCCTAATTTTCCTGACGAAGAGTGAGAAATAAGGAAGGAAAACTAGTCTTAAATCGTCGCGTCGCCATTAGATAGTAACGTTTAAGTAGATATTTAATGTTTTTTCCTCTTAGCTCCATATGGTTTTCCGCGACTCAACACCGCCTGATCAGTTTATTAAAACAATCATAAAAAATAAATATAATGTAGGTAGGTATTCGAATTTACACTAAACCGCGAATCGACATTAATGTACTTACGCATTAATTTTATTATAGACCTGACATCAATCCTCATTTTGTAATCGATTCAAACGAATGTTCTACTGCCAAAATTAATATCCGAACTCAATCTGAAAACCACAGAAATATTACAAACAGCTTCTTTATTATATCTATGTTGAAATCTCTAGATTGAGATTGATTTTTGACATTAGTTGTGTCAAAAACCTAGATCGATCCATAGGTTTTGCATTGATATATTTAGCACGGTTATTAATTATGGCTGCAAGTAGTAATATGCCAGGGATTTGAGCCATACGACATTGAATTACTAGCTTCTGCCCGCGGCATCGCCCGCTTTCTCATGGGATGAAAAGTAGCCTATGTGCTAATCCAGACCATAATCTATCCCTGTTACAAATTTCATTCCGAACAGTTCCTAATTCAACCATTTTGACGTGATTGAGTAACAAACATGTACACAAACATACAACCCTTCACATTTATAATATTGATAAGATAAGTAGAGTTTAGTACTTTAGTAGTGGGAATGTTAAGCTCTGTAACTGATACCAAAACCACCGGATATCCCATTTGAATGAAAATATTTCCAAAATCGTAACCGAATCCGCCTTCGTTATAGGTATAGAAAGATTATGATTGGTTTTGTTCACATATTTCATATTTGTACTTCACGTAAAATCTTTAATAATCTAATTTACGTAACCGAAACAGATATAACTCCTACATTTTCTTTTTTTTCTGATCTGGAGACGGATATTTAGTCAAGAAACCTTCAATCAGCCACATGCTTGTCTTGCGCAAAAACAGGCATTAATGGAATCCTTTGTAAGTACATTCCAGATTGATGAATAATTCGAATAATTACTAGACGAATGCTGTGTAATACTAAATACTGCATATGCTAATTTTAAATTAGTGACGTCTGACTCAGAGCATATAAAATAAGTAGGTATTTTACAAAAGGTGCCTATAATATCGATGATGTTATGCATTTGATGGACAAAAACATTTAAGTCCTTTTGTTTAGGTTTTTTTAAAGTACTAACTGAAGCAACAATGTATACATGTTCCTAATAAAATTAATAGTAAGCGATCCCCGTTAACCATGACTAGAGTATTGCAGATATCGGCCAATATTATTGTTAAACTTGGCTTCGATTTGAGTAGGAAATACCTCTTTTAATTAGGAAATGCTACAAAGTAATCTGAATGCTATTTTTCTATTTAATTTCAAGTAGTTAATGGCATTAACTATTATCTAAGCAAACATTGAGAATTTGTTGTCACCGAAATATTTTGTGACGTGATTAATTAACAAAGCAATTACTGCTAGTTATCTAGCCATTTGGAATAACTCTAAGGGGCGAGGCGATTTTTTTTTGTAAATAGGGTTCTAAGTTGCCCTGGACGGTAGAAGCAATACGCAATTAGCAATGTGTGATTATCACTTTTAATTCATCTATATCTGATGAATGATGACGATGCTTCCTTTAGTAATGTTTAATTATATAAAGGTTTTGTCAATTGAGAGTGTGAGTTTTGAGTTCTAAAGAGTTCAGACTTTCTAGTATGCTAGGCTTTCTAGTCTGTAAGGTCAATTAGAACTCTCGAAGTACCTACCTAAGCTCGATTGCGGTCCGCCGTGTACATAATAGTGCAATTTAAATACATGATAAACGTATATGGTCTCTTGGGATACGTAGTTAGCATAGCTCGTCTGAGTGCAATTTACTTGGTAACCGGACCATTAATCTATGTGTATACTAATGTACAAAGCTGAAGGGCTTTGTTTGTTTGTTTAAACGTTAATTTCCGGAAGTACTGGTTCGATTTGAATATTTCTTTTTGTTGTTGGATAAACCATTTATTGAGGAAGACTATGCTATAGGTAAAACATTACACTACTACGATCAATATGAGCTGCACAGCCGGTGAAACCGCGCGGGTGTCGCTAGTAAATTATAATGACGTGTGTAATAGAAGGGATTCTATAAGTGCAGTGGACCACATCAGTCGCTAGTTTCCTATATTCCTATCTATCTCAGGTCATAATTGCATCTTTATTTCCTATTCAGTAAGGATGAGTTTGCTTTGAACTATGCTCATGTCATTATGTTGTTTCTATGTACTAAGATCATTAAGATCTTTAATTGTTTGAGACATTAGATTAATTTGATGCGACATAACTATTCTGGTGTCTGTTTATTTTATAGGACTCAGTTGTTCAAGTATGCAGAGCGCATTTCATACGAAGCCTTCCTACGTTTTTCATTGTTTTAAATAGGTAGTTTAGAATAAGCAGAACATGTAAAAAACCTGTAAGTGCTAATTTGTAGAACATTTTTCGTTGATAATCAACAGTAATTAAGTACCTACTACAAGATACGGCGTTAAACTACTGTTTCTATGTCGCGGAGAACCTAACGGGTAACCGGGGCTCCGGCTCGACGTGCAAGAGAAGGAACGGGGTGGTTTTTAGTCAGTAAGAGTCTGACACTCCACACCCAGGCGGAAGGAGTCATACGATGATTTTCCCCCCTTAAAAAAAAAACTACTGTTTCTATACTATTATTACCAACTTTGTAAAGAATACTAGCGTTCTTGTAATACTATCATGGCACTAAACATTTATTGATATAAATTAGTGTTGGAAACTAAACAAGTTATGTTTTGAAATATGATTCACACAGAACCGGTTTAAGTTGGCCTTAAATGAAATCTTGATTCTAAAATACGTCGGTGAATAAACTGTATATGGCGCGTACGCATACGTTGGTGACAAACGTTTGACGAAAATGTTGCATATATGGTTATCATGATTATCATGTGATGCCCATTGCTTAGACTTCGGCTAATTTCAAAATATCTAGATATATTTTTGATTGTAATATTTTAAGTTTGATAACTAGCGACCCGGCTTCGCACGTGCAATATGCATTTATTATACCTATAAACCTTCTTTAAGAATCACTCTACCTTTGCGATAGCGACTTTGTTTTATACTATGTAGTGATTTCAAATAAGACCAGTAGTTCCTGAGATCAGCTAACTTAAACAAACATTCTTCAGCTTCGATATAGCAGACAATAAATTTATGTGATGTTTAAGAGTTGATTGTACATAATAAATAATAGACCGGAGTAACTTATTATGCAACGAAACTGCAAATAATAGAGCAAAACTGAATAATTTCCATTGCGGCTGGAATTAGACAAACAAAACCGTTCAAAAATAATGCCTTATTTATATAAAACGGTTATTTATAGTACATACTTCAAAGGATAGTTGTTACTCATCACATTTGATACCTTTGTTATAAGATACAAATGAAATGCTTCACCTAAGTCAATAAACTGAGTAGGCAGTCAATTGACTGTTTTTAAGACCCACACGTTAAATAATTTGAGTGATGATAATTTCAGAGTACATGCACCTTGTGAGGTGAGCAATAGATAATTGTAAGATAGCCTTGTATAGAATTTGACTGTGAGTAGGAAGAATGATCGTTGAAATCTAGAGTTTTATTTCTTGCCATGCAAATGCGCATTACTTGGTCGGTTTACAAGTTTATTTATCCCGCTTTAATATAAAAAACTATTCCCTAAAGAATTTATTTAGTGTTTAATCCTTTTTTATAATTCTAGAACAACTTGTATTTTAAAAAATGGCACCTACCACTTTATAGTTCTTAATGCTCGGTAGAAACCTCTTCTGTTCTACCTCCTTCTTTTGGAACACCTCATTGATGATGTTTCCCAAGGCCTGGGCGCCATATTGCATTAGCGCTTGGCCTCCTTGGTTGAGTAGCTGCTTTCCCGCGCCTTGCAGCATGGCGCCGAAGTCCATGCCGCCATTTTGACCCATAGTGGTCACACTCACTCACAAACTACTCTCTATACTTTTTTTTTGACACTTTGCTAAGACATTTTGGAGTTGGCTGTGTGGAAAATTAGAACAGGAATTATTTTACTGTGCTCTGTGTTTTTTTAAATTAAAATGTCAGGTAATTATTTTTAAATGAAGTTCTTCGAGATTGTTCAAGTAAATAATCATTTAGATAACAAACATGTATACTCGTAAAGTATACAATATTGGACAGAAAATCATACAATTAACACTTTTATGATTAACAAACAACTCATAACAACCAGCTAGCTAGCATTAAGAATTCCTCAAGAATTATAATAATTGTAAACACTAATTACTGAGCACTGAATGTCCTATTTTCCTTATTGTATCACACTTAATTACTAATAATAAAGTAGAATAACTTCATGCACTCATATTAAACTGTCAAATACCAAGCGGTCACCGGTGACCGCAACCTATTGTTCTATAATTGTGTCTGCAAAACCGGTACTCGACGAGTTAAAATGAAAATGTGAAATTAAAGTTCTATTTCAAACACAAACACAGTTACTACATTCTAAAATTAAAAATCAATGGCACTGGACACAAGTCATTCATCCTAGTGTGATCACAATACTAAGTAGGAAGCACTATGAAGGCCATAGATTATGATTACACAGTTTTTTACAGTGATGTCATCAGTGGAGGTGTACTAATTAAGTACTTCTAAACATTTTATTTTTTTCATGGAGTTGAATTGACTGTGTTGCATTTACAGATTTCAAAATAAAGTAAATGTTTTTAGAATAGTGGTAGTTTGTACATATCCAGTCAATTTTTCTAGAGTAATAAAGTAGTTCATAGCTAAAAATGGTGTTTTTAAGTACTGGCGTACCTGCCAACATATTTGGAAACAGAATAATGTGAGATAAACTGAACTTTTTATAACAAGAGCTCCACAACTTGTTTTCTATTAATATAACTAGTCTTCAAATTATATTAGTTAGTCTAATTTACATAATAATATTTAATTGCTTTAATGGACTGAATTTTAATAATTATGTACAAATAAAAAAAAATATATTCCATGTTATTGGTATTCTTGAATAATTGCACATGGGTAGGTATTAAAAATAATACAGTCTGCATAATGTTTCCTTTGAGTACACCAAAGAGATCACATTCCCACAAACCGGCTGCAAAAATACTACGGAATCTGGACCAAAGCAAATAATAAGTAGGTCAGCTGTGCACTTTCAAATATGTGTGGTAAAAATCTATGAACACATTGTAATTTCACTAAAACACAGTATTTTTCGGCCAAAGAAACTACGCATTGTTACAAAATAGGTGAGGTCATCGTTATGCCGAAGTTCACTGAAAAATCTTAAGAATCTAATAGGAATGATTAAACATTGCATCAAATGTCGAAGAAAAATATGCTTCTTAATGAATCTCAAGTGAAAACTAGTAAACACAGAGCACAACAAAATATTCCACTACACAACACACACAAATAAATCTAATTTTACATTAAAATAATATAAAATTATGTTTTAAAATCAGAGTACAGCCGTACCCAAAACAGTCTCAGCAAAACTGACAGAAATACAAACCGACTAAATAGAAGAGCTTCTCAAGAGCAGGAGATGCAATGAAGTCATGATCTCTCAAACTTAGTCGTATAGCTAGCAAGTTATTGCCAGCGCAGAGAATGACGTCACCTATTAAAACTAGTAGCATTGATTTTCTGCTTAGTATCTACTGTTTATGTGTTTTGGTTTCCGTCTTCGAAAATAAATTTTAGAAATTTGGGAATTGTAAAGAAGTCTTTCGCTATCTTAGCGATTAAATTGTGCAAGTGTGAGCTTACGTAAATATTTTATCTTGTAACACTTCGGTCAATTCAAAATTCAAGTTCCGCTCAAGTTAATACCTATTTTATTATTTTTTAATATTTTCATTGATAACATAAATTATGCATTTTCAGTTAAGATACATAAAATAAAAATATATGCGTAATAATATAAATATCGCAAGTTTTACAACCAATTTCTTTAATAACGTTATTCTTTAGCAATTAGTACCTACTTCATGAATGATAAATCCAGGGTCGGATTTAAGGAAGTCAACACGACACTAATTAGGTAAATAGTGCAGTGCAGCTGACATCATTTATAATAACGTCTACTTAAATGAGTCACAAAATATCGGTACTTTGTTATTAATTATTAATAATTCATAAATTCCGGTTTTGCAGTTCCAATAAAAATAATCAAAGCTAAAAGTACATTAAATTTTTGTAGTTATTCCATAACTTTTTGAATTGAAAGATAAAGAAGTTTTTTTATAGATCTCCACTGTCAATAGGTGCATGTTTCACTGTTTCTAGTCCTATGTGGAAGGAAAAATACCTAATGAGATGAAACGGCCGTCACTTCCCCACCTATATGTAGGTTTATAGTAGAGCCCATCAGGTCATTTATATTTAATCAAAGTCCTCACGTATCTGGTAGGTACTGAGTAGTACAAACTTGTGTTAGGTTATAGATGCAGAGTATAATATTTTTATACAATAGCAACGCTAGCTAAATGATGTTCTTATATAAATACTTCAGTTCCTTTAGGTTTTGTTATGCAGAGTGTATATTTATATAATGGCAACACTTGCTAAATGATAAAATAACATAACATTACGCCTTTTAGCCCCGAAGGGGTAGGCAGAGGTGTACATTACACCACTGTACAATGTAACACCCACTTTTCACTGTTTATGTTATGAGTGCCATGTAATAGGGGGTGAGCCTATTGCCATATACCGGGCATAATTCCAGACTTTTACCTACTAGAATTACTACTGAGAATTCTTAAAAACCCAGTAATACTTTGCCCGACCCGGGAATCGAACCCGAGACCCCTTGCCCGGCAGTCGCACTTGCGACCACTCGGCCAACGAGGCAGCCAAATTGCTAAATAATGTTCGTAAATAAAATGCTTGCTGGATATTATTAAAATATTATTTTGTAGATGTTTTAATAAGTTAGTTATTTTTTTATTTTATTTAAATGCTTTTACTATTATTACAAAAAATATGAAAGTTTTAGTTAATTAGTAAATTATTTGAGTGAAGCTCATTTTAGATGAATGTTTGCGTAGAACATGGCATATACATACACACTTTTGGCGGGAATTGAAAAGTTCGGTCGATTGTTTCGGCTTAAATTGTAAAATTATATTAAATAAGTAATTGAAAGTCGTTACGAGTCTTATTTCTTGACCCTAATACTTGTATGTTGTTGTTAATGAGATAAGCTGAGTATAAGCATGTGACCTTTTTATGGGTCAGAGAATTGAATAAAACGATTATTTGAAAGTTAAGATACTCGGTCTAGGTCACAAAATGTAGAATGTTATTGTGTCTTTCTGATAAATTTTGAAACTTCTTATCAGATTTTTTATTTTTCTGACTGTTAACCGATATCGTTTGTCAAGCACTGTTGCCCAGTAGAAGAGCGTCCAATCTCCAAATTAGTCAATGTAATTGGATGTTGATACAAAAACTCACAATGATGCAGTCGGTATTTTCATCAGTATTTTTTTCTATACTTTTAACTTTTTATTTATCTAGGGCCGATTTTTCCAACTATTTGACAATTCTTCCATACTAAAAACTGACAAATGTAAATTTTATTCTATAGTTAGTTAAGAATTAATTTATGATTGAAAAATCGGCCCTAAATGTTGGCGTGAAGGTCATCTTAAGTGAACTAAGAGTCTTAACTCGTCGAGTACCGGTTTTGCAGACACAATTATAGAACAATAGGTTGCGGTCACCGGTGACCGCTTGGTATTTGACAGTTTAATAATTGAAACAAGTTCTTAAGATTAAAAAGTCTCATTGTTACGTTCAAAATGGAAATAAGTAGGTAAGCACAGTAGTTGCCTTGACGAACCAGTTTCCGATTATGGCAGGAAACGACTGACAAAAATGGCCGAAACGTATTACAGTGGTTAATGATCATAATCTTTGAAGAACACTGTTTTAAGGTAAACATCATGTTCGTGTAAATGTGAGTATTTTTAGCATTGTACGAGGTAAACGAATACATTTATCTAGGTATTATAATCATGCAGTTTATGAATGAACAGACAAAAACACATAAAACTATGAGAATACATTTGGTAACATTTAAAGAGTGTTACTATGTTTAGTTGTATACAAGATACAACTCACAATCAAACGGTGCATCTCATAAATATCTAGTAAAAATTAAACAAAAGTTACGTAACCAAGCATCAGACCCTTTGAAATACCACATTTGGTCTAGAATTACAAGGTTTTTGCTATTATCTTTGGACACAATAAAGAAAATTTGGCACCAGACCAGCTTCACTGATTTCCTGCAACGGGTACAAGGCCTTGTCCTCTATTTCGACCAAGTCTAGCCATTAAACAAATTGTTGACGTGATCATTCAGCAGTGCTACCAACTTCCCTATTCAGGTGGACAAAAATGGAACTAACAAAACGTTCGCAAAATCTCAATACGGATCAATTTTACAAAGAAACTAGTGACGTGAACAACTGTAAAGTTAACTTGGTGATTCGACAATCAGTCGAATAATCAATAAAGATTGGTACAGGAGGTTTTAACCACAAAATGGCCATGTTTGCTAGCTACCTTGAACCGTGTTGACGGACTTTATGAAGTAGACGGATAATTAATTATGATGTTACGTCGGTTTTTGTCGAAGTCCGGTTTCGGATAGATGTGGGTGTGCATACAGGTAATTTGCTAGTATGGATTTATTATGTACTGTTATGACATGATGGTAATGTATCGTTATTCGTAATATTTGATTACAAAACCATCCGATACATATACAAATAATATCTTTACCAAAGAGTATAAGGGATTTCATTTGTGAAATATTGAAAATCAAGAAAATATAACAATATAGCCTAGAGTATATTAATGAAAGGCTAATTAACTAACGAATTCAGTGTACCTACAGCATAAAATTTGGCGAGAGTGAAGTTGTTTTAAAATTTTTTTCATGAATGGAATAGACAGAGCACTTTATTTTTGCCATCAAAATAGAGCCGGATGCAAAAGGTGAATAATCTTCAAAACTCTATATAATATAGTCTGTGTGTGGGAGTTTTAAAATCAGAAACATAAGATGCACCGCGGTAGGTACCTACTAGACAAGTTTCGTTTGGAACAAAATAAACAAGAGCTAAATAAAAGCATTTCAGCGGATTGCTAACTATTTAGTAATTTATGATGATATTAATTTAGAGTGTAATGTGCAGTGTCTTAGAATATTCTGAATAAACTCCACTC